GTCCCAGTGCCTGCTTAGTCAGTAATTAATAAATGACAGAACTTGTTGGGGTTCAAATCTAGTTCCTGAGAGAAATGTCCCTTTCTAGTTGCTTACAGCAAAGCCACACTGTTTTCTTCTTTTTGTTTTTAGAACCCTTTTCCAAAAGCCCACTATTGTTGATCTCTTATGTAAGGATACTTTGTCTTACATTTTGGGAACTGTACTTCAACTGGCAGCAAGTTATCCTCACATTCTACACACTGCTAAGCCATGACAGAACTGATTTGAATTTCAACTGTCTTCTCCATAATAATATCAAAATTAAAATATGCTCATAAGACCATCCTGTAGTTAAACATGCCTTTCTTCAATCTAGTGTATGAAATTGCTATAGAAATTGCTATTAATTGAAATAGTATTATGTGATGTAGGGCCAGCAATCTAAATTCCAGCATGGAAGAAGAGTTGAGTAGTTGCCATGACCCCCATGTTTCATGCTTTGGCAAAGGCCAGCAAATCTATGCAACATGTTTTCTAGATGATCATGGTATATATTCAGTTTATTTCAGCCATATGGTACAAGATAAACTTTGCCTATTCGTCATCTTTGGAATTCCCTTTGCAACTTCATCATAAATTTGTGCAACACATAGGTAAATTTACTTATTGAATGCATTAAGATATGGAAAATCCAGTAACACTGTTATAAAGAGAGGGAAAAAATTGCACTCGTACATGAAATAACCTGTGTTTGGGAAGAATAATGTTATAAGTAGAGAAAATAGGTCATGACAAAGGCCATGCGTAGACCAAGTCTATGGCAAACGGGTTGGGGTCTGGGGTTCTGTTTCTAAAGTTTGCACAATCATCACATTGAATTGTTCTAAAAATTGCCTATCATTAAAGAGAAGAAAAATTGGCTTCTTTTCTTTTTTCTTCTTTTCTTCTTGTTCTTTTGTTCTTTTTTTCTTCTTGTTCTTTTGTTCTTCTTTTCTTCTTTTCTGTATCTTCTTTTTTCTTATTATTTTTCTTTTCTTTTCTTATTATGCTACCTCTCTTCTCCTTTTCTTCATCTTTTTTTCTTATTCTTATTTTCTTATTTTCTTCTTCTTTTCTTCTGCTTCTTTCCTTTTTCTTCTTTTCTTCTTTTCTTCCTCTTCTTTTCTTCATCTTATTTTCTTTTCTTCTTCTTTTCTTTTTCTTTTCTTATTTTCTCTTTCTTTTCTTCTTCTTTTCATTTTCTTTTCTTCATCTTCTTTTTCTTCTCTTATTATTATTATTATTATTTTCTTCTTTATCATTTTCCTCATCTTCTTCATTGTCTTTTCTTCTTCTTTTCTTCTTCTGGGAAAAATGTTGTGCCTATTTTCTATATTTTTTTTGTAAAATGTCTGCCCATAGATGGCTCTGTATGTGCCTGATTTGAAATGGTGGAAAATACATATTTTTCACTAGTGCCATGAATATCAATGGTGCTATTTTTATTATAAACATTATAATTATTATGTTTTTTAACATTAGTAACAGCAAAATAAGATAACGTAAAATATTTTGTAAATCAAAGAAAAGGGTAAACGGGCGAGACAGGCAGTACTCATAACTGGCTCATTGATAATTTAGTACAAGTGTAGCCATCTATGTGTAAAACCAAACAAACAAGTAATCTCACAGTGGGCATGGCATGGCATGCCCGTCGGCAATGGGTTAAGATTATGATGCTGATTCAAATCCTTGTCATATTTCATATCTTCTTAAATAATTAGGACAAGATACAATATTCTTGGTAAAAAAATAAAAAAAAAAAAAAAAAAAAAATATATATATATATATATATATATATATATATATATATATATATATATATATATATATATATATATATATATTTGACATATACTTTATAGTATATGGAGTAGATCAGTACTCCAGAATCTAATAAGTTCATGTGTATATATTGTTTTAAAATTAATCTTCTGTTGCCTCTGTTTGTTTGTTTTTTGAGATTGGGAATTATCCTTATTATGTAGATTTCTACGAATGTCAGTCATTTTCATTTTTTCTTGTTTCTCTCCTCAGGCTCGGGAAAATGGAGAGTTGAACAAGAGTGCTGGAAACCTTCTGTACAACCTTGGAACAAAGTTACCACGTCAGTTCCACAATCATCTCCCCTTTTTGGTTAATTACATCACAAATGGGGGAATTAATCAGGAAGCTAAACTAACTGCAGCAATCAAGTTTGTCCAGGTATGTGGGCAAGGGGATAATTTCCTTTTGACATGAAAAGATTATACGAGTTATATAGTTTAGCATATATACAGATATAGATGTAGATATAGTTTAGTTGCTTTAATGAGGTTTTAACATCTCAAATCTGAAAAATTTTCTAATGATTTTGAAAGAGGTACTATTAAATTTCTCAATTATGAGTTTTACTTTATGTAGCTGAATTACTTATGTTTGTTATATTACTATTGTTCTATATTTAAAGCATCGTCCTTTTAGTCAGGATAGTATTTTAAGTGGTTCTTTGTTAGAAAATTGCTAACAAGTCTCCTTTCGTTTTAGAATCATCCATCTGGAAATCTTAACAAAGCAGAATTTGAAAAATCTTGTGGCATTGGAGTGGAAGTGACTCAAGATGAGATTGAATCCGCTGTAGCCTCTGTCATAGAGAAGCAGAAGAAAGCCATTCTGAATCAAAGGTAAGCATTATTTTACTGATGACATTGCTGTTGATTGTGTTTTATTTAGCCTAAATATGGGAAGAGGGAATTTAGTTGTTTTGTTATTTAGAAATTTGTTTGTATGGTTGTGTAGTATTGGAAGTAGATGGATAGGAATTGATACATTCCATTACATACTCATTGAATATTAAAAGTTATTTACTTCATTTTTGTATGTGTGAATGAGAGTGTGTGTGTGTTATAGTATGCCACAAAAAATTAACTCGTGGTTTTAAAACAATGTGTGCAGGTACCAGTTCAACACTGGCCCATTGATGGGTCAGGTGAGGGCTGCCCTACCATGGGCTGACAGTCGTAAAGTCAAGGAAGAGATTGATTTGCAGATTTTGACTTTGCTTGGCCCCAAGAGAGAAGAGGACTTGGTTAAGCCAGCCAAGGCAAAAGCTGAAAAGAAGGAAAAGCCTGAAAACCCCACTGCCAATGTAGCACAACCAAGTAAGTGTGAAGTAGTTTCATCTTTATGCCCCTCTGCTTAGTGACACAGTGGAAGTAGCCATAACTTGCTGTGCCAAATCTTTGATCCAAAATACGTTGACTATTCCTCTTGTGCCAATATGTATGGTTGCATTTGCAAAAATGAATTGGGACTTGGTAGTCAGGTTAGAGATTCATAGTTTTCCACATAAAGGGAATGAAAGATGCTAGTTGGTAGATGTGATATATATAGAGAGTTTTCTTTGCTTATATGTACAAAAGCAGATTGTGTGCCAGTGCTTTGGTATGTGGTTTTCTGCTATCTCTACTTCTTCTTCTTCTTCTTCTTCTTCTTCTTCTTCTTCTTCTTCTTCTTCTTCTTCTTCTTCTTCTTCTTCTTCTTCTTCTTCTTCTTCTTCTTCTTCTTCTTCTTCTTCTTCTTCTTCTTCTTCTTCTTCTTCTTCTTCTTCTTCTTCTTCTTCTTCTTCTTCTTCTTCTTCTTCTTCTTCTTCTTCTTCTTCTTCTTCTTCTTCTTCTTCTTCTTCTTCTTCTTCTTCTTCTTCTTCTTCTTCTTCTTCTTCTTCTTCTTCTTCTTCTTCTTCTTCTTCTTCTTCTTCTTCTTCTTCTTCTTCTTCTTCTTCTTCTTCTTCTTCTTCTTCTTCTTCTTCTTCTTCTTCTTCTTCTTCTTCTTCTTCTTCTTCTTCTTCTTCTTCTTCTTCTTCTTCTTCTTCTTCTTCTTCTTCTTCTTCTTCTTCTTCTTCTTCTTCTTCTTCTTCTTCTTCTTCTTCTTCTTCTTCTTCTTCTTCTTCTTCTTCTTCTTCTTCTTCTTCTTCTTCTTCTTCTTCTTCTTCTTCTTCTTCTTCTTCTTCTTCTTCTTCTTCTTCTTCTTCTTCTTCTTCTTCTTCTTCTTCTTCTTCTTCTTCTTCTTCTTCTTCTTCTTCTTCTTCTTCTTCTTCTTCTTCTTCTTCTTCTTCTTCTTCTTCTTCTTCTTCTTCTTCTTCTTCTTCTTCTTCTTCTTCTTCTTCTTCTTCTTCTTCTTCTTCTTCTTCTTCTTCTTCTTCTTCTTCTTCTTCTTCTTCTTCTTCTTCTTCTTCTTCTTCTTCTTCTTCTTCTTCTTCTTCTTCTTCTTCTTCTTCTTCTTCTTCTTCTTCTTCTTCTTCTTCTTCTTCTTCTTCTTCTTCTTCTTCTTCTTCTTCTTCTTCTTCTTCTTCTTCTTCTTCTTCTTCTTCTTCTTCTTCTTCTTCTTCTTCTTCTTCTTCTTCTTCTTCTTCTTCTTCTTCTTCTTCTTCTTCTTCTTCTTCTTCTTCTTCTTCTTCTTCTTCTTCTTCTTCTTCTTCTTCTTCTTCTTCTTCTTCTTCTTCTTCTTCTTCTTCTTCTTCTTCTTCTTCTTCTTCTTCTTCTTCTTCTTCTTCTTCTTCTTCTTCTTCTTCTTCTTCTTCTTCTTCTTCTTCTTCTTCTTCTTCTTCTTCTTCTTCTTCTTCTTCTTCTTCTTCTTCTTCTTCTTCTTCTTCTTCTTCTTCTTCTTCTTCTTCTTCTTCTTCTTCTTCTTCTTCTTCTTCTTCTTCTTCTTCTTCTTCTTCTTCTTCTTCTTCTTCTTCTTCTTCTTCTTCTTCTTCTTCTTCTTCTTCTTCTTCTTCTTCTTCTTCTTCTTCTTCTTCTTCTTCTTCTTCTTCTTTTTTTTTTTTGTCTTTGTCTTTTACTTTTATTTAAAATTATTCATTTTCTCTTTCTTTCCTGTGTCGTCTTTATTGTCTTTTGGTTATAATTCCTCTCGCTGCTTTCAGGTGAGAACACGATTCCCTCCAGAACCCAATGGCATTTTGCATATTGGGCATGCAAAGGCTATTAACATAAATTTTGGGTATGCTGCTGCTCATAATGGTGTGTGCTTCCTTCGCTACGATGATACAAATCCGGAGAAAGAAGAAGAGAAGTTCTTTATAGGAATAAGAGACATGGTCGAATGGCTTGGTAAGAATGCTTTTGTTGTAAGATAGTTCTTTTTAGGATTCATATGTTAAGGCTTATAGAAAATAGTTAAAGGTAAAGAATTAGTTGTATGCTACTCTAAATTCTTGAGTTTTGATAGGTATTACCTCATTAAAAATCTTATTTTGTTATTACTTTTAACTGTTGTTTCACTAGTTTTCAATATATATATATATATATCTTTTAAAGGTTTTGTTTAATAAGTAACTTTGGGAAATACAAAGGAAGTGTATAGTAACCAAATACATCATTCCCAAACAGGTTACAAACCGTTCAAGATCACACACTCATCAGATTACTTCCAGCAACTTTATGAATGGGCAGTAGTGCTTATAAAGAAAAGAAAGGCTTATGTTTGTCACCAAAAGCCAGAAGAGGTGAGAGGCCGTGACCCCCCACCATCGCCCTGGAGAGATCGTCCAGTTGAAGAATCTCTTCAGCTATTTGAGGTTAGTTCACTGAGGTGCATCTGGTGTTTCAAAACCTTTTTTTGTATAGTGTCTTTATTTTGAGAAGTTTTCTTTTTTCTCTTGTGTATACATGATAGGAAACAAAGTATAAAAACAAAATGAACAAAAAATGTTCTTTGTAAATGTATGAATATTATTATTTTATGCATAGTTATAGCCTCACAAGAATTTTGAAATAGAATTACTATGTTAAAGAAGTTAATGTATAATGTTTTCTTCTTCAGGACATGAAGAACGGAAAGTTTGAGGAAGGGGAAGCAACATTACGGCTTAATCTAACCCTAGAAGAGGGAAAAGTTGATCCTGTTGCCTACCGCATAAAATTTGTTACCCATCACTGCACAGGAGATAAGTGGTGCATTTATCCGACATATGATTATACCCATTGCCTCTGTGATGCAATTGAACACATCACCCATTCACTTTGCACAAAGGAATTCCAGTCAAGGTTTGTTTTTCTGTTATTTGAATGAGCATGAGAAATATGATAGAAATAAGGATTAATGTAATGTAGCTTCTTGATTGACGTGAGTAAATAAAGTGAAAAATGTATATGAACAGTGAACTTATCCTAACCATTACTTGTATTGGCAGACGATCATCGTACTATTGGCTATGTAACGAAGTAGGAACTTACTGCCCTGTCCAGTGGGAGTACGGTCGCCTCAATATGAACTATACTGTAGTTTCCAAGAGAAAGATTGCCAAACTAATTGATAGTGGACATGTAAGAGGTAAGCCCCAGTTAGCTGTTTATATGTATTAGATTATGTAACTTTGTTTATCACTAGATGCAATAGTAGTTTCTTTGTTCATGTTTTTAATTGATGAAGTGATATTCTGGGAATGCAGGAAACTGTTAGAATCTTTTTTTTTTGTGCGTGTGTGTGCGTGTGTGTGTGTGTAATCTTGTAAGAGCAAAGGGTTGGTAATCTTGAGGAAGGGGCCATATTTAATGGTTTTAGAAAAGATAGTACAAGGGCTTCATGCCATAGGGGCTTCCAGTTGTCCAAATGCTGTTAAATATGGATAGTAGATAAGACAAGGATATAGGTGGGAGATGTTGTAATATATGGTAATGTATACTGTCAGGGCCTTCATTTGAGCAGTGAGACTGGGTAAGGCTCATTTTCTTTAGAAAAATCAAGTCTGTTGCACAAATTTGATTAATATAAGTGCTTTGTTTAATCATGCAGACTCATCTTTAACCTTGCAATTAATTTTATTTTCAGATTGGGATGATCCTCGACTATTTACCCTAACAGCGTTGCGTAGACGAGGTTTCCCATCAGAGGCTATAAATAATTTCTGTGCTTCACTGGGTCTAACTGGTGCTCAAATCTCCATCCATCCTGATGCATTAGAAGCACACGTTCGAGATGTACTGAATGTTACCGCACATAGGTAATATTATTATTATTATTATTATTATTATTATTATTTTTTTTTTTTTTTTTTTTTTTTTTTATGTTTTAAAATGTGGTTTTGATAAGAGGTTGTGAATTATAATTAGAATTTTATTCAATGATGCAGAGATATTTGCTACTATAATTAAAAAATAATTGCAGCTAATGGTTAATAAAATTTGAGTAGTTTTAAATTTAGGTCCTTAGTACCTCAGTATTTAACCCCTTATGATATTCTTTCAGAGCTATGGTTGTTCTAGAACCCCTGAAGGTGGTAATAACCAACTTCCCCAGCGAAGCAGCGATTGCTGTAAGCGTACCAAATATCCCTGGCAATGATGACAAAGGAACACACAATGTGATCTTTGATAGAGAGATGTGGATTGAGAGATCAGACTTCCGTGAGGTAATGTTTTAATTCATAAGTCTGAAATACACTTCCTAATTATATATTAACCTATTAGAGATGGTTGCTTCACTTGCCCACATATGGAC